AAATGACTTTTGACAAAGGCTACATGAACACATATTAGAGCAAAGATACCTCTTTGATAATGGTACTAGAAAAACTGGATGTCCACATCTACAAAAATGAGACTAAATCCCCATTTCTCACCATGTAGACAATTCCACTTAAAATATTAAAAACATAAACATAAAATACAAAACTAGAAAAGTACCAGAAGAAAAAGAAAAAATACTCTGCGACACTGATCTTAGTGAGAAATTTCTTGGAAAAGAATGTAAAAGCACAGACCCCTCCCCCCCCCCAAAAATAGATAAATGGAATTATGTTAAATATTTTCAAAAGCTTCTGCATAGCAAATAAGAATGAAGAGACAACATACAGAATGGGAGAAAATGTTCACAAACTATGTATCTGACAAGTTATTAAGGGTTTAATATCCAGAATATATAAAGAACTCAACAGTAAAATATTTATAACAATCCAGTTAGATTTTATGTATGCAAATCACACTATTTCTTCAAAGACAAAAAGTGGGAAGAGCTCAGTCTATGTAAAAACGAAAGGAGAGAAGAGGAGAGAAGAGGAAAAAGAAAGCTATAAATAAATTTGGCTTACTCTGAGGGAATATATTCAAGAAAAAGTAATTTATCTTTCCATACCTATTAAGAATAATTCCCATTTGTGGATCAAAATGGCCATGGGCCCTCAAGACCAGAGCTAAAGAATTACTACTGGCAAATGAAGGATGGAATATAATGCTTTATGTATCCCTTTTGCAAAAACTGTATTTTGGCCACTTCTGAGTTGGCACCAGAGGCAGGATGAGAGAAAAAAATTCAAGATCCAAGGAAAGAAAACTAAAACAGAAGAGATTGGTCAGGAGAACCAGCTCAATGAAATGCATTTTTGAAATGGGAATGTGGCAGTTTAAGGAGGCATCAACCGCAAGATAAATGTTTGGATATTTAGAATTAGGACAGAATAAAGTAGATACAGAATTAAGCATCAAGTTCTGAAATGCCATACCTAAGAGGTTGTCAGCCTTACCAGAAAAAAAAAAAAAACACCAAGGACAAAAAAAAAAAAAAAAAGATACCATAATGCTTAGAAATTATAAACTTTGGAAAATTATCCCAAACTCTAGTGTCTTGGGATCCTAGAATATTAGTTATGAAGAAAAACAAAGAGAATTTTCTAGGATGCCTAAAGTCTATTTCTAGGTAAACAGGCTCACAGATGCTCCTCAGAGGGGAAAATCAACCTTGCATTTGCTGACCCTTAGTAATACTTGGATACTTTCCAAGAAATATAAATCATTTACTCAGGATCTTCAAGGTAGAAAGTTTTTTTTCCAGGGTGCTCATGGATGTCTACAGAGAACAAGGGTGCCCCTCTGGACATTTTGCCTCCTCTATCTTCTAAGCCTCTACTCATCATCAAAAATACTAATTCAATCTATACTAGATATTATACTTTTAATTGCCTGAGCTTTCCGACTAGCCCTTCACACACACACACACACACACACACACACAAAAAAAAAAGGAAAAGGGGATGGAGTGAGGGAATGAAGCAGGGAAGGGCGGAGGATATATGTTAATGCAGTTAGTTCATCAGATGTCTGATTTTCCATGTAATCTACACAAATCTAGAAGAAGATGAATTTGTCACCTGAATCTTCCCAGACTCTTCACAGATATTAATCCTCATATTAACACTTACTGGTGTGGTGCCACAATGAAACAGGACAACTCAGCTTGTGTCCTAAGGGGAGCTCCTACAGCATCAGCTTCCAAGGTCCCCTAGGACTCTTTGGAACTCAAGGGAGTAAAAGAACTCTGACTGCATAACCATTCAGATAGCCATGTACTGTCCTCAAGAAAGTCAGCCACATTCAGTATTTCACATCTTTGTGCATGTGTATTTATACCAAATAAAGTACCTATGTTCTGCCCTAATGGACTTGGCTTTATTAATATAAATGAAGCTACATCATATTAAATTACCTGCCTTGACTTATACGAAATATCTAAGTCAAAAGTCGATCAAACATAAGGCTTCCCTCCTCTCCTATAGCTTCATGAACTTAAAATCAGAATTCTGGTGGATGTACAATTACATTCTAGCTCACACATATATTAAGCATGGCACAATTTTTAAGCATATTATAATAGAGAATATTTCTCCTTGAGTACCATGCATTTGATCTTGCTTGGAATAGAAGTTTTAGATGGGCCTACAATGGTCTATATTAGCAGTTTATAGATACTGAGGAGGTGCTGAGACCACACTACATTCCTAATGTGATAATCTGGCAATCCATCCCTATGATAAACGTTAAAAACCAGTTAGGATGTCTGCCCTCAAAGATTTGTACTTGGAAAATATGAAACTAGGTTCTTACTTCAGCCATATCAGATATAAAAGTAACTGCATCTCTTATTATTATTTGGGACTCCCTAGAATAATCTGTGGTATACAGTTCAAGGAAAGCCTTCAAACAGCCAGCTAAGAATGCAATGTAATCCTTGAATATAGCCAGAATGTGTCATCAGGAGTCCTGGAATTAAGTTCTGAATAATCTTAACAAAGGTGTTTAACCTCAGTCAACGTATGTTGTCCTGTATGTGTACCAGGAAGATTAAAAACACTAACATACTAGGCTGCGGTGAGCATCAGCTAGAACAAGGTACTCAAAAATGCTTTGAAGCCCTAAACTCATGGTGATCAGTGTAACATCCAGCCTGTGTGTAGTTTACAGAATCTTGGGTCCCTTCTGACAGAAGGCCAGGTGGGGCCCTTTATTCTGAGTCATGCCTTGAAATCTGCTACTTACATGAAATGAGCTGATCAGAGGTAGCCAAGCATGTGGAAAGCTCGTCTCTTCCGCTTTTGCATCACTTTCACAAACTTGTCCTCCCCTTTATTTCAGTGACCTTCTTTTGACTCTTGTTCCAGATTTCAATGTATTAAGGCACTTCCTGTTATTACAACTTTTGTCTTATACAGTGCCAAAAGGGAGGCACTACAATTCTGCCCACTTTATAGCCAAGATGGTAAATTACAGCTTTTCATTTCATTATATTTAAAAAGCAGGGTAGCTCATCAAAGAAGGGATCTGAGATTCTGTGCATACTTCTTAGCCTTCCACTTAGGCTATTCTGATTTTCTCTCTCACCATACTCACAATTAGACAGGTGTGATACCTCTTCTACTGGAAGATAAGGAAGAAGTAAGAGTGCTAATCTATGCAAAATTGCTGTTTTTCTTATTTTAATCTCAACAGCTATAGTCAAAAATTTATCAGTATCAAAGGGAAAAAGAAACTGAACACTACTGAAGTTTTTCCCTTGCCTTAGATGTTTACGTGCTGGGAAAATAAACATCTATACTCGAGGTATGTTGAAATACACACAGTGTGAATACCTTGTACTGTATTGATTCCTGGTTGAATCTTTCACAGGAGAACATCAAAATAGATGTTTTCCTAAACAACCCTACACATTATAGACAATTAAGTAAATAAATAAAAGTACAAATTTCATCAAATTGCAATTATTACTCAAAACTTATTTGTTACCAAAAAGTACATTTAAGGAACTACTCAGGTTAGTCAGCACTAGAGCCAGACAGGGTCTCCTTGTCCACACCTCCAGACAAGACCCAAGAAACTTGGGGTTGGATTGAGTGTTGAAGGTGAGAGAAAAGAGTCTATAAACAAACTGAATTAAGTAAGGATACTGAGTTCCAGGGGGACCATTTTCCACCGAAACACTCTGAATTTGGAGTTCCTATCCATATTGGACTTCTCTGAGGAAGATCTAATAAACTGGGCCCAAGGCACACACCCTCCTCCTCAGAGCAATTCGTCATCAAAGGTTAAAATTAACTAGGTACTTTCCAGCATTTTCCTTCGCTTGCGTACACCTCTCCTTCCTTCAGGTCCGAGAGACACAGACCACGGTTTACCTCGAAATTACAGGCACAGATCTACCAAGTGCGCAAGGCTTCCGGAGTTACACACGCAGCGGATGCTTCGCCCACTCCCTCCCTCGACCCTTCACCAAAGCTCTTGCAGTGGGGCAGCTGACAAAGGACTCTACCAACTGCACGTGCCACAGACCTCACAACCTGTCCAAAGTTAATCCTCACTGAGTTGAGGCTCACCCCAATCACCACCCAGCAGAGGACAGCACGGGGAGCCCCCGAGGCTGACCTGCGTGGCGGCCAGCGCCGCGCGCTCGGCGAAGGAGCCGCGCTCACGTGGTGCCCGCGCTGCTCGGCTCCGACCTCGGGCGGCGGTAGGGAAGCCCCGCCCGGAGCGGAGGAGGGACCCGCAGAGGCGCCAGTCTGGAGAAAGGGAGGGGAAAGACCGCAGCGTCCCGGCCCGGCGAGAATCCCGGGCTTCGGGCAGTGTGGGTGGGACTGGGGTTCCCCGGCGTCCACAGGAAGGGAGACTCAAGTTTGGTTGGGGTAGCAACTTGGAAAAACATGTTTCAGGACAGACGCATTGGACTCCCATCTAGAAATGAGTTCTTCCAAGGTGGTCAAAATGCCCATCCAGCCTGAACGTACTCTTGAAACTACCGGCAAAAGGGGAGCAAGGGTGTCCCCAGGTAGCGAGCCCGTCCCCACCCACCTTCGGGGAGCTCGGCCCTCCGGTCTCGGACGCACGGGGGAACCGCGCCCTGGGACTGGAACGTGGGCGGCGTGGTCCCCCGTGATGCCCAGCCGGCTGAGGGCTGGGATTTAAAACCCACCGCCGCGAGTTGTGTTTACGAATCGTTTCGTTTCTGCTGGGGGAGGAGAAAGGGCAGAAACTCCAGCACATTTACTCCAACTGGAGGACGGGCGCTGGGCACCGATGCCAGGCGCAGAACTCCAGTAACTCGGCGGGGGCGCTGCCCCTCGGGTCGGGAGGGGAAGGACAGGTGGGGAGAGGAGGGAGGGCGGCGAGGGAACAGGTGAGCTCCCACCGCCACCCGTCGGCGGCCCAGCGCCGGGTCCCAACTTGGAGAGGACTTACTGGCTTTGCACGGGTCTTTGTAATCGATAGTCTCCGCCTTCTCCTCTTCATTCCCCTCAAAAGTGTAGTCATAATCGAGGCCAGCGCAGACCCACAGCTCCCCGCAGAAAACAGTGCCCAAGGCCAGCAGGCACAGGAGCATCCTTGGCGACAGTGCTTCCAGCCCCATCCTCCTCTCCCGGCGGAGCGGGAGGGGACGGACTGCGGGCCGGTGGCTGAGGCGCGGGGCCGGGGCACCGGCGCTCTGCGCCCCGCGCGGAGGCTCCTCGGCCGGACCCGGGCGCTAGGTGTCCCGAGACATGCGGGTGCGAGCGCTGCCCGGGACCCCAGCTGCAGGGGGAGCTGCGGGGACCCGCGGGCGGGCGGAGGGCAGGTGAGGAGCTCCGCTCCGGGAGGCGGGCAGGGGCGGCTGCGGGCCAACTGAGCTCAGCGGGCGGGCGCTCGCCCGGCCAGGTCGTCCTTCTGGCGGCCGAAGTTTCCGCGGTCGCGGCTCGGCTGCCCCCGAGCTCGGACCCCGCTCCGCGCACCCGCCGCTGTCAGGACCCCGCGGCCGAGCGCGAGCCGCCGCCGCCACCGCTCCGGGAACAGGAATCCGATCTGCACATCAGCACATCTGAGCTGAAAGGGGAGACCGAGGAAGGGGGTGGGGGCCAGGCACGTCTGCCGCGAGACCTTAAAAGCCTGCAGGAGCCAGAGAAGCCACTGACTGCAAGGAGAGCAAGTGCGAGGATTTAGGGATGCACTGTTTGCCTTTTCCTCCCGGCTGTCTTTTTTACCCTCTTCCTAACTTGAAAAAAAAAAAAAATCTTCGCAGCATCTAACCCAATCACTCGCATCCTGCTTACTTATTCATACAATCAGGGTCAGGATCCGGGCCACAGCCTCCTCTCTGACTTCTTTTGATAGCCTTACACAAACAAACAGACAGGAGTGCGCTCACGATTCCATTTCTATTTTACTAAACATAAAAATGCATAAATTATGTGTGTCTGCATCCGCGAAGAGCAATTAATAGATGATGAATGTGTCAGTTGCGAGTGCCAGACCGGGGGTGGCGAGAGGCATCTGACAATTTAGCTGCAAATTTTCCCCCTTATCCCGAATAAACAGCGAGTGTGTGTTTCTTTCCTTTGCTGCTGTTAGCCTTCTTGCAGCCCCAACAAAGAGAAAAATGATCTGACCCTTCACTATTGAGGTAAGAAAATATACTACATGAAAGTCTCCTACCCCACAAAGTTTTGCTCAGAACTAAGATCCGCAGAACTGCGATTTTTAAAAAAATCCAAAATCAAGTTACAGATTGCAGCAGCAGCAGGAAATGCTAGGACTCGATGATGGGCTGGCGCTGTGGCTCACGTGGGCGCAGAAAGGGAAGTTGGATGGAATACTCGGCGAGCAAATTTTCTGTGACAGTTCTGGCCCCCAAGCCCAGAGCTGCTTGGTATCCCTAGGTTTCACTTGTTTTACTTCGGAGGAGTAGAATGTGTAAAACCTGGCAGCTGGATCCTCGGAGGTAAACCACATGTCAGCCCAGCAGACTCAAGACAAACACAGGTTGAGGGAAGTTGAGAAGGGAAAAATATCAGAGGAAATCTCTGCAAAAGCCCTGGTGTGAGCAATTCCGAGGTTTCCCCACATCTGCAAGTAGTTTCCAAAAGAGGTGAGATGACTGCTCTCCCAAGCTTCCAGGGGACTGGGGATTGAGAGTGGTTTTTTGGGGGGGGAGGAGTTAAATCTTTAGCTGTCACTTTAGCAGGGACTTGTAAAACACCTTCCGTTGCCTTTACATCTTTATTTGACAAACACAGCCTGCTTTGCTTTCCAAGTTACTACCAACCTACAGAGTTCCATGTAGAGACAAATATGACAGGAGCGCCCCCAACCTCAACACAGGTAACCCTTTGACAGGTAGAGCTAGTTGTTTGGAAATTTGACCAGCTTTTACTATGGTTGTTGCAGGAAGGTAATAAGCTAAATCTTGAAGAAGTCTCAACTATTTTCACTGTAAGCTAAAATAATAGGAAGACTGGGTGGAGCTGAACTGATCCAGTGTTCTTCCTGCAACAGGGGGACTCTCTCAGAGACCACTGCAGTGATGAGCACCCTCCTGCAGATATTAAACTTTTAACCTCCAGGACACAGAGCAGGCCACAGATTCCAAAAAGAACATATTCAGTGAGCAGGTAGAGGCGTTGCTTTTGAAATCTCTTGCTGAGTCATTCTCAAATTGCCCGTCAAAAAAATGTTTGCATAATTAATAATCGTGTTGCTCTAGGGCAGGGCTAAACAAGAGTGTGTCCTGCTTAGCCCATCTGAGAGCTCAGAAAAGACAAATTCCCTTTGGAGGATACTCTGCTTTTGAGCTGCTGACAGTGTCCCCGCTCATACTCCAGACCCTGGCAGTGTCCCTGGTTCATCAGCATGCCTGTGAACATCTCCATTCTCCATAAACCATTTGATCAACTGTGAATTTGCAAGATTTTGTACATGGAGTTTGCTTAAATAGCACTTTGCTATGGCTAGAATGAGTATATTTCATTCACTTATTCTGGAGGGGATACATCCCTATATAGGGACAACTGACTGAGTATATAATGATTCTTACTATGTTTTCCTTGCAGATTTATCTTTGCTTAGTCTCACAATTTTATCAGTTTGCAATCCAGAAAATTATAATGATTAACATAGTAGAACCTCAGATCAAAATATAGAAATGTTTCCTTATAGCTAAAATGCTTACAGAGAATAGTTACATCACAACATCCTAAGCTTTAACCCTTGATTTATTTTTAAATTTTAAAAATATTTAATCTAACTCTAAATTTATAGCAATAAAACACCTACTTTTAAACTTCATTTGTTTCTGTAGTTGCTATGATTAAAACTTAAAAGTAGATTTTGTCATGTCCATGAAAAAAACATAAATTTGAAAGAATATGCTTGTGATTAGAGAGCTTAGTATTGTTGAAGTGTATTCATAGATGTAAAAGAAATGAATTCAGTCTCCTCAGGAAAGAAGAAATCAATTCCCCCAATCAGACATATGCTAATGATGCCCTCACTTTAGTTGGCAAATGCTCTTGACCACCTTGGTACTGCAATAGTACCTTGACCCTCAGTAATAGCAGGGGATAAAGCCACCTATCATATTCAGGGCAAGAGACAAATTCTATGCCAATTGTCATATCCTGTTTGTTATCATAGTAATTACAATAAACTTGCCTTGTAAATAATGCCAGTTAGAAATGTTTATTTTCTAGTCAATATGTGAGGTTCTGGATGTGACTGTTTATGACACCAAGTAATACATGAATATAGTCCCTTCTTGTCTGTATAAGGTAGAACTTAGAAAAATTAAAATTTCATTCAGTATACAAATAAACATACTGTGCATGAATGAAACATACTCATTCCTGCTAAGTAAGTGATGCCTAAACAAATTCAAAGTGCAAACTCTTTCAAACTTCCATATGGAATAAAATGTGAGTTTCTTCCACCACCCTAGCTGCATGCCTTTCTCTGTACTAAAAACTTTTAAGCTATTAATAATAGGGTAAATAGATTGATTCCTATGAAATTTTCATATCTGTCCATCAAAAAAGCAAATATTGGCAATTTCATATTACTTCAAAGCTTTAAACAATCCTGCTCTATGTTAAACTCATTGTTCTGAATAGAATTAGATATCTCAGTCAAACACTTTCACATGAAGGGATGATTCTCTGAGCCTCAATAACTTTGACTTCTACATTTTCTTTCTTATTTTGGTTTGGTTTGGTTTTAAATTTTAGATTTTTACACTTTTTAATGTCACATTGTTTTAGATACCACCACTGTAGGATGTTCCCAATCTTGATAATCAGGATGACATTCAGTCAAAATCTGACCTTACTACTATTTCCTAACCAACACATATAATGTCATGAAAAAGTTAGCAGACGGCAATATTTGCTTTATCACAAAGGTGTGAAAGAAAGTTTTTGTTTGTATACTAGGGAAAAATCCTACTGTCCTCTGGGGTAGAATAAAAGATTAATTCTTCCTGCTGCAAAAGTTCTCAGAATCTGGTCTGAATAGAGGCCACTGAGCTAGCAGCCTGGTGATCTCTTAATACTGCATTATACTACCCTTCCTCTCTACCATACCCTCACTGTGAGGTGCAAAGTTGCCCTTTATTTTCATGGTTTTACCTCTCCTTGCTTCATGGATTAAAAAATATACAATGAACCTTTGTATAAAACATACTGTATGCTGTATTTACAATGCAATGAGAATAACAATTTCAAAAATGTAATAATCAAGTACTATCAGCTTCTTAAGAGGAAGCAATGTCCAAACTTCAACAGGCCAATTGATCAGGCCAATCCAGAACAATCACTTACCAGTTTTTGATGATCTTATGCTATTTTGAAGACAGAAAATAGGAATTAAAGTGAATGAGTCATTCGTAAACATACTACTGTCACCTCATAACCCCTACTTGTGTACTGGGTCTTTGAGGTTATGCTAATATTGCTGACAATTGTGATCAGTGGAGAATGTATGTCTGACAGTGGTCAGCAGCGTCTGACAGTGGTCAGCAGCCTCTGACCTCAGCTAAGGCCTATTCTTCCTTACACCCCAGTGCATTGTGTCCTTCCTGACTCCCTAGGCTTTATTCTAGCTACAAGTGCCTTGCATTCAAGTCATTTATCTCACAGAGGATAGAAGCCGCATCATTTCCATGCAAGAATTTCACAAAATAGTCTGTACATACTGGAGGCAAAATAAAATTTTTACTCACAAAAATTAAATCTGGTTCAATTTCACTAATTTAAATAATAGTATAATATTCCATCACTGGAAATATGTAACACTAGAATGTGAACAAAAATTAATTTTAAAAATCTATATATTTAGTATAGAAGCAGTCTCTGGTATTAGAAACTTTTAAAAATCCTCATTACTCTACTTCTTAAATGTCTTTGGACACTTATTCTTTCTTAATGTGACTTTTCTAACTTTGAAATAAAATGCTGACCTTATGTGTTAGCTTTTCATCACTATAGCAGATATCTGAGGTGATAAGTTTATAAAGAGAAAAAGCTTATTTTTGCTCACAGTTTTGGAGATTGGAGTCTGTGAATGCCTGGCTCTTTTTCTGTGGGCCTGTGGTGAGGCAGCACGTGTGGGGGGAAACCTATGGAAGAGAGCCTTTCATGCCATGGCTGGGGAAGTGAAGGAGAGAAAGAGGAAGGGCCCAGGGCCCACTGTCATAGTCAAGGGCGTGCCTTACAATGACCTGAGGACCTCCCAGTGGGCCCCACCACTTCAAAATTCAACCATGTTCTAATACTGTCCCCGAGATCTCTGACGGTCACTTAAATTCAAGTCTGCCACCTCATGTGGTTGTTCTCCAGGACCATCGTATCAAGTATTCACAATACATAGCTCAGGGCCTGGCACAGGACAGGCTCTCAGTGCCCATGTCCTCACCCCTCCTCTTGTCTATAAATGATGAATGTCTAGGGAAAATCAAATCAAACTCTTGAAAGAAACTCACTTGTGAAAGTCCTTGTGAGTGCTTATGAACTGACAAGCAAAAGCATGATTTTTTTTTTCCTTTGGGGGTGAAAAAAATGATGAATGAAGACTGACAAAGGGGAACACTTAGATCCATAACAGGACTCATTCATTTCAGAATTTCATCTCTTCTTTCTACTCACCACCCATAGACAACTAAATAATAGTGATTCCCCTCTGCTAATTCTAATAATTTACCTTTGTAAAATAAATTCCTGACAGTTTGGATTCAGCACACTAAAAATCTTTCAATGATCAGTAGATAAAAAACAATGTACCAAGATGACTCGAATTGAAAAACCTGACATTGTTTACTAACCTTTTTATATTAGCTTTTGGGTAATTGGTTGGTGTATATTTATAGCTT